TATATAGATAATAACGTATTATTTTAAATATATAATTGTATAAATTATTTTTTTTCAAAGGTATACGTCACACATTTAGAACAATAATTATTCAAAAAAAACAAAAATTATTTACAAAATTAATCAGAACAATTGGAAAAAGTTTTCCTGTAATTTGCATTGTTGCGATGTTTTATCTAATACTTCATCAGAAATGAAATCGACATTGCACAATTTATCCTCTTCCTTAATTGTGTGTCTGACAAAATTGGCTCATGTGATATTTGCTTAATAATCTCCTTCGCTTTTAATTTTTCACCGTCTGCATTGTCTTGCTGAGCCATTTTAGTCTTGTACAGGTTTACGATTATTAATTTCTGCCGAGAACCAACAAACTAAAAATTAATAATTGATTAAACATTAAAAAAACGTATTGAAGAAATGTAAAAGTTAATATTTTCATATAATATATTCGAATAACTCAATTAAGATTTTTATTATAAAAAATACAATTTCAAGATTTTACATAAGTTAAATAATAAATAATTGTATTGAGCTAAATGTTTTAAAAATTATACTTTTCCACGAGGATTTCTTTTCATTGGTGAAATGTCGATGGTTCCAATGTCTTCATCCATTATATTCAATGATATGAATATGTAAAATTGGTTTATGAAAAAAATAACGGGCGCACAATAGGACGCGTTGTACATACACGAGAATCGGTAAACAACAAGCGACGGTTTGAAAAAATTTTGTTTTTGTAACCGCAGTATACACACCTGCCGATGCCATTGGCGAGCTCCGAAGCGCTCTGACGATTATGCTGGTAAAGTGGTGGGGATGCGCGAAAAATACGTGTTTTGGTCGGCCGCCGTATGCATTCTCTCGTGGCGCGGAGTATAGAAGCCCTAATTCTTCTTTGAAGGATCTTTGTATTTTCTCCTTTGTTTCTCGGACAATTTTTTTTCCTCATTTGATCGAGCTTGACACTTTTGTAAAGGTATTTTATAAGCTAAATGAAGAGACAATTGAAAGAAACGAATCCTTGCATGAAGAATCGAGAGTCCAAATGAGAGTGTTTCTGTATCGATTTGCTCATTTTTAATAAATTTATTAAAATATTTTGATGTTTTCCCCAAATACAGCACCTCATAGTAGATGTTGTTTCAGTTGCAGCGTTGCACAATTTACCATATATCATTGTAAACAACATGGTATGCTTTATTTTTCCAATTTCATTGTGCATCCTTGTTTCCCTAAGATTCATTATTTGATTGTTTACGTATTTTACTTCATCAATTGTTATATCTTTAGATTCAATAATGAAACGTATTCGTATGGGCCTGCAAAACTTTGGAGAAGAGGGGACTGGGTTTTACCATATAATTTTTTTCTGTTCCCTGTCAATGATAAAAATCATTCTCAGTGGAACTAAAGAGCTTTGAAAAATATTTGCATTACTTTCAGCATTATTTTGAAACTTGTTTAAATTATGCCTATTGTGACCCAATCTGTACTTTTTTGAACACTTTTTTACAATTTAAGACATATTTGTATAGGAATAATGCGGTATGGTCAAGTATTGCTTGAAGTAGAATTTCAGCTGTAGTTTCGGTTACTTGTATCGATTCATAATCAAGGCAACATTATTTTTAGCTTGTTGTATCATTGAGTAAGAGAGATAGATATTTTTGTTTCTACTTTGAATAAGTTCCCATTGTTTTCTGGTTAAATCGTCTTCAACAAACAATGTCAGTGCCTCTTGAGGTGTGAATTTCTTGACCGTTACTTTTTTCAAAGCATTTTGTAACAGACCCAACGTAAGAATAGTGACTGAGAAAATTGTCAAAATAATTTAACTCAAACTCGTGTTAAAACTTCAAATTAATATTTCCAATATAAAACACAATTTCATTTACAATAAATCTTTAAAAATACACCAAGTCCAATTAATTAAAAACAACAAAATTCACTAAAATACAAAAAATAATAGTACAAGTCCAAAGAACAATGTACAGATATGTTGAAAAATTGTTCGGATTTAATCTTGGTGGATTTGTTTGATCAGACGATGTTTTGGGCGATTTATATATGCTACTGCCGTGCCCAAGTTACCCGTTGTTTATAATTGCTTTAAATCTTCGCTAACCCTGTCTATGGCGGCCCCTAGGTCTTTTTCCATTGACTTATCCTTGCAATGCTTTCTTTAGAATTCTATTTGAACTCTATACCTGGTCTGTCCACTCAGTTTCATTTCACTTTGCACACTGTATGCGTGTTGCAAGCTTATATGAGATCGATAAGTTTCTTGGGGATTCAAAATTCTTCTATGGCCGCCCACAGTTCATTTCGAACTATGCTATCGTAACCCTGCCTGAGGTCAATAAAACACATGTGGATATCCTTTTCCATCACTTGTCTGATTATGAAAATATGGTTAGAGGTGGACTTCCCTCTCAAATAACAACTTTGATAGTCTCCTATTAAGTCTCTAGAGTATACCTCCAACCAGCGTAATATGCCAGGGATAGGATTGTGTAGCATATGTCTAGAAGCGCAATTCACCGGTAATTGCTTGTATCCAAAGGGTCGCCTTTTTTGTACCTGCGACAGATTTCGGCTGTTTTCCAATCTCCAGGTATTCGATTAGCATCCCATATTTCTTTAAATAGCTCGTGAATTTTGGTCATAAGTTGTTGAGTACCGAACTTTAATAGTTCAGAGTTGATATTCCGGGGCTTTGTTGTTTTTTAATGTCGCGATTATATCATCTACCTTCTCACGGTTAGTTTTTTCTAGGAGAGCATGTGCCATTACGATATATAATACTTACACTTTCCTCCCTTATCTTTTGTTCGACATTTAGAATGTTTTTAAAATATGCTTAAAACTTCTGGATGAGACCTACTCATCCGTTATCAGGTTTCCATCGTGGTCTTTGACCGTACGAGTTTGAGCCTTAAAACCTTTCTTTATCGATCTGCATATTTTGAAGAACAACCTATGATTGAGCCTATGTTCTTTTATTTTTGAAATAAGACTTTTTTCGGCTGCTCTTTTTTCCTGCCTTAATATTTTGCTTGCACCTTTTATGTTTTTAACAAATCCTTTTTTATTTTCAGAAGTTACGTCTCGTATCATTTTTAATATTGTTTCTGTGCGACTTTCTATGGCTTCTTTGCACCGTTCATTGAACGATATAATAATTTAATTACGATTTTAACAAGTAATAATTAAATTTTGTTGAATTACAGTATACAACCATTTATTTTTGAAAAATGCCATGTTCAATTGACGTGTATTTAAGCTCACAAACGCTATTAATGTTGGATAATTTTGTATTGGTTATTAAATTGATTTCGCAATCATGTGATGTTGTAACCCTTAGGGTTACAAGATTTTTACAAATTTTAAAATGTTTCATGTTGTAGCACATAGAACAATGAAATAAATTCTCGATGATTCTTTCGTTTGTGAAATATTATATAAAGGATCTGCCCTTAAAAATCATCCAATTGTACAAAGTGATCTGAAACAATTAATTTAAATATTATTTAAGACAATTCAAATTATGTAGTGAAATTATGAGTCTTCTCATATTTTAATTATTTCTTAAGTTATGAGTTAAACATTTTCAATTCATTCGTGTGTATAACTACTTCTTTAAGTTCACGTTGTATAGATACGGTTTCTTTATTATGAATAGTTGTAACTGAATAGGGACCCATTCATTCGGATTGCAGCTTTCCTTTTTGTTTATTATCTTTCACAAGAACTCTATCCCCTACATAAATGATAATTTCAAGTTGTTTTTTATCGTACGCTAGATTTGATTTCTGTTTCTTTTCAATTAGTTTATCACGCGCTTTTCTGTGTGATTCTTAAAATCGTTTTCTGATTTCAAAATTGTAATCCTCGTAATTATAACATGGCTGTGTAGATCTCTGTAATGAATGAGGTACTTCTACTGGATATCCATATACTAACTCATGGGGCTAGAATCCTGTCGGCGTGTGAACCGTGCTGTTGTATACAAACATTGCATCAGAAACATAATGATCCCAATCCTTTTTCTTCTCCTTAACAAAGTGCCTCAGATACTCTGCTAAAAATCTATGGGACCTCTCTAAGGCTCCGTTGGACTGCGGATGGTACGCTGTCATTTTAATTTTGTCAATTTGAAGAAGTTTACAGCATGCTGTGAATATTTTGCTTAAAATATCTTGTCCTTAGTCCGAGATTATTGACTCCGGTATAACATGTATTACAGACAAAATTTTCAACAAATGCTTTCGCTATTGAGTTAGCTGAATGATTTACTAATGGAACTGCTGCAGAATATTTTAAAATCATCGTGCATTGTGAGAATGTATGAATTTCCTTCAGTCGAAGTTTTTATGTGGTCCACCAATGTCGAGAAAGATTTTCTCGAAAGGTTTAGTAGCAGTAACTTTCATGGGTTGTTTGGTTGTGTGGTAAGTACTCTTATTAATTTTTTTTTTTTTTTTTATTCAAAATAAGGCTTCAATTACAGCGATTATTAGCCTAAGGAGGGGGAGAGTTACATATTGTGACATAATTTATACAATGATAAAGCTGGTATTACAAAAAGGTATAAAATTTACAAGTTTTTTTCTAAATCTATGTGTTTGAAGAATTTTAAAATATTGGGAGTGTTACTTTGATTGAAACTTTCTTCTATCGATGATGGGTTATCGAACAGGTGGCGTGCTGAGGAGTATTTGGGGCAGTCGATGATTGTTGGAGCCGGGAGCGAACAATAATAGGTCGCGTGCTCGGTACCTAAAAAGCCATATATCGACCGACCAGCTTTGTGAAGGTGTGTGTAGCACTCAACAGGGAGTGGACAAGTTCGCCGAGCAAACCTTGCGAGGCTAGTGTGTGACGATGTGCGAATGTGTTTATGTGTTGTGTGTGTTTGTGTGGGAACTTAAAATTATTAATAATGGTAATTGAAAAGGGGTAACTAAGACAAATAAATAATAATAAATAGGGTAACTATGGTTGCTGTGTATTTGAAACAATAAAAATAATAATAATAATAACAATAGTAATAAATAATAGGAAAAATCACAGCAACACGGAGAAAAAATAGGGTATGTAATACTTTTGTATGTGTAGAATCACTGATTTCTTCATTTTGCTCAGGTTCTATGGTGATGGATTCCTTCGACTGAGCGCAAGAGGGGGGTGTAATTTCATTGGGTGTATCGTTTGACATTATTAGAAGGTCCTTTGAGGTGTTTGGTTGCGGCTCTAGGTTATCATTTTGTTCGTTTGTGTTGACTAGTTTTGTATGAGGTAAATTATTACAATGAGCTGATGTGTGGCCCGTATGTCTGCAGAGATAGCATGTCAATGTATCATCAGTAAGAAAAATTCTGAAGTTTGTGTCATCGAAATGAATTATAAGTGATCCAGGTAATTTATTTATGTCCTTGTTTTTAATAATGGTTTGTCTTCTAAAACTGATGATATGTGACAGGTCATCAGTTGCGAACCCAGCTTTGAGGAACGTGATCGGAAATATGGTGTTAATATCTAGTTTGTTTGTTGAGTGCGTCGGTGATAAGAGAATGCGGAATAATGGGAGAAACATTTAAGATAATAATCCGTTTTGATGGGTTTACAAGTTTGCGTATGACAATATTGTGATTATTCACATTGATTTAGGGATATTGATTAATTATATCACCTGCTATGTTTTTACTAGAGAAGTACACACAAAAGCGGTTGTTCGATACTCTAGACGTGAATTTAATATTCGACGGGCTCGTTAGTATACTTAATGCTTTAATGTACTCAATTTGTGGAATTCCGTCTATTGTGTTAAAGATAATTGCTTGGTCTTTTTTCGGGAAGGAGAAGTTTGCAATGGTTTCAGCGAACGATTTTTGTGTGTGGTTTTCTGGTGGTTGGGTTGGAGGTGAACCATTTGAAGATGTAGATTGGTTATTTTTATTTTGAGTAATTTTTGGAGAATTTGAATTAGGTCGAGGTAGATTGGTGGACGTGTTTGTATTTAACATTTTATTTTTCGGTATCATTCTAATATCGGTGGTAATTGCCGACCGTTTTAGAAACGGATTTAATTGAGATATCGCGTGCTTATCGCCCATTGTGGCTTAATGAGAGTGGACTATGTACTATGAGATATATATTACCCGACTCGATGTGCTGCAAAGATCACAATACACTGCTATCGGAAGCTAGTAATACGGACCGCGATTTGATTACACGTAGAGCCATCTTACTAATTGAACCCCCGCATCTTTGACATTAAATAGCCAAGTCAACGGTTTATGCTCTGTGACGACTGTGAATCGACGCCCAAACAGATATGGATGAAACTGCTTGATGGCCCAAACTATCACTAGTAATTCTTTCTAAGATGTATTGAAGTTTTTTCAGCCCTATTTAACGTTTGTGAGATATATGCAATTGGTAAGTCATATCTTACTTTTCCTAGTAATAATATAGTGCCAACGGATACATTAGTGGCTTCTGTTGTAACAATAAATGGATGAGAAAAATCTGGATATTGCAATCTTAGTTGTTGTGAAAAAAATTGTTTTAATTCTAAGAATGCATTTTGGCATAAATGTGAATCTTTTTTCAGCAAAGTTGTTAAAGGTTTAGCAATTTGACTAAAATTTGGTATAAAACGTCTGTTATAACCTGCTTAACCTCGGAAAGACTTAACATCATTTTCAGTTTTTGGAGTTGGAAAATTTACAACGCAATCTGTGATTTTTAGGTTTGGTTTGATACCTTTATCTATAATAATGTGTCTCAAGTAGCAAACTTATTTTCTCAAGAATTCACATTTCGACGGTTATAGTTATTGTATTTTTGAAACCTACCAAAAACGTTTTTTAATTGATTTTTATGGTCTTCTAATGATGTCCCTATTAAGTCATCTAAGTAAACAAAAGCATTAATACCGTTAAGACCAGTAAGTACAAGAATCATCAGTTTTTGTAATGTAACTGGTGCTTCTTTCAGTCCAAAACACATTCTTTACAATTCAAAATGGCCCTGGTCTGTACTGAAACCAGTTTTTTCTCGATCAACTGGATGTATAGGTATTTGAAGATATCCAATTGTAACTACCCCACCTTTACTTTCAAGTCACCAGTGTATTGGTTCCCGGTTTGTTACAAAGGGTGTATCCGAATTGGTTCCCGGGTCAAATTTTCAATTTTCGTTCTCATTTTATACAGACTTAGGACTGTCCACATAATATTATGCATGTATGTTTGAAAATTATGATTTTTTTGCCACTTTTATTTTTATAATTTTTGTTATGTTATATAATAAGTAATAAGAATAATAATAATTTTTTTTTAAATTAAATATATTTTTAACAATAAATTTATAACAAACACTTTTTATAAATCTAATCTAATTATTTTATTATTTTTATATTTGCCCATTTCTGTTTTTATATATATTTCCTTATTTTTAAATTTAAGATTTTGTGGTTTCTCTGTACTCCAATCTTATATATGTTTCAATTTGGACTTTTTTTAGTATATCCATTAGGGTGGTCCTTAATTTCACACCTTTGAAATTTAATTGCTGGACCCTCCATTTTTTTCGATCCATTCAACGAATCTATTGTCCTTTTTGCCGACTGGTATGCAAGATTATCACTCCACTTAGTTGGGTTTATTTTTAGGTACTCCGAAGAAATTCCGAATCTTTTAAATATTTTATACGGCTTGTAACTTAACAAATTTACAGGTAGTTCTTTATTTAATAATTCATCCACGTCTTCTAACTTCAAACATAATTTTTTTTTGTCCTGTAAAAAATTCGTCTTTNTGTATCATTAACGATTTGTAACGAATCTATTGTCCTTTTTTCCGACTGGTACGCAAGATTATCATTCCACTTAATTGGGTTCATTTTTAGGTACTCCGAAGAAATTCCGAATCTTTTAAATATTTTATACGACTTGTAACTTAACAAATTTACAGGTAGTTCTTTATTTAAAAATTCATCCACATCTTCTAACTTCAAACATAATTTTTTTTGTCCTGTAAAAAATTTGTCTTCCACTCCCGGTGTTAATTCTATTTGTTCTTGGTACTTAAAAAGTTCGTCGGCCCCTTTTTTTTTCTAACATCAAATGAAATCCTTTCATCAAATATAGCAAATACGGCACATTCTTCATTTAGATACCATAAATGATTTAAAAATTTTGACAAACACACATTTATTATAACACACATTTGCAATTTTTTTATCATCACTTTTATATTCGTTTAAAGTACGTATTAAATTTATATCGTTAAATGGTGCCTCACTAACATTTGTAACTATAAACCAATATTTAATATACATTTTTACAATAAATGCACTAATTCGCACTATAGCATTTTCTTCGGTTTTCGTTATTTTTAATTCAGTTCGTAGTAAAAATATTTTCAGACAGTAAATACATTTTGCCATCCACCTTGCCTGATGACATGCGCCCGGTTGACGAATTGTCGTGCCACCAGGTGGAGTTTCTCCAAGTATAATAATGACTAGTTCAATTAATTCTTTGTAATNTGCACTTGCCATCTGATCTGAATGGAGGCATGGATTTGGTTTTTTACATCCGCGTAGGTTATTAGGTTAAGTTTAGGAATGGCAGGTGATTTCGTTGCTTTCTTTGATTCTTCGTCTGCCTTTTCGTTCCCTTCTATATTGCAGTGTCCTGGGATCCAGATTAGGGATATGTTTGATCCTCTGTTAGTTGCCTGGTAGATTTTTTCTTGTATGAGTTTTGCTATATCAGTTGTGCATATTTTATTATTAAGACTTAGGAGTGTGCTTAGAAAATCTGAGAGAATTATATTGTTTCTGAGGGGGTGCTCATGATTATGTATGGTTTCGACTGCCTTAAGGATAGCTATGGCTCCTGCGGTGTAGATGGAGCAACTTTCTGGGGGTCTAAAAGTGGATGTGAAGTTTTCACTGATGATTGCTATGCCCACTCCTTCTTCTGATTTGGAGGCGTCTGAAAAATAGGTTGACATTTTTGTGTTTCTGAAGTATTTCGTTTAAGTGGTTTTTATATATGATAAGTAGGGTGTTTTCTTTCTTGAATTTTGTTAGCTCGAGGTTGATATCGAAGTTGGTGTTCCATGGGGGGAAAGTGTATGGTTGGACTTTGATCAGTGAACTGAGATCTATTTCAGGTATGTTGGAGTATTGTGTGAGATCAGCTATGTGTTTGTATGCTGGGTTGTCTGGGTTTCTGGAGATACTTGCAGCGTATATTAGACTTCTTTCGATTTTTCTTAGCTCGGGGGGAGGTTCAAATACTAGGTTACGGATGCTTTCAATGGGGCTTGAACGGAAAGCTCCTAGGGCAATTCTTATGCTTGTTTTGTAGGTGGTGTCAACGATATTATGATGATTTGGTTTGGCTGATTGATAGATTGATGCGCCGTAGTCCATTCTTGATCTGATGAGGTGTCTGTGGATTTTTATGAGCGTGTTTTCATCGCCTCCCCATGTGGTATGACTTATCATTTTCATGATGTTGAGGCTTCTAATCAATGATATTTTTAGGTATTTTAGGCGCTGTACCCAGTTGATTTTTTTGTCAAAGCAGACTCCGAGTATTTTAATTGTGTTATTATTCGGGATTATATTGTCGTTTAGTTGGATGTGGATGTGGTTTTGACCTTTCTTGTTGGTTAATAAAATGCATTGAGATTTTTGGCTAGCAATTTTGAAACCGGATAGCGTGGACCATTTTGCGATGTTGTTGGCTGTTTCTTGTAAGAAGAGTTGTACTGTCATGAGGTTAGGGCTTTTGCACCAGAAATTGAAGTCGTCTGCGAAGAGATTGGCTTTGATAGGGAATTCTATGGTGTTAGTTATATCGTTTATTGCTAGTAGAAAGAGGGTGACCGATAACGACGATCCTTGAGGGATTCCATTTTGCTGGGTGAAAATTTTTGATTGAGCATTTGTGAGTGAGACTGTGAATTGTCTTGAGGTGAGAAAACATTTGATATAGTTAAACATGTTGCCATCTGTCAGTATTTTTGAAAGTATTTGGAGCACTCTGTGTCTCCAAACCGTATCGTAGGCTTTGGAGATCTCTAAGCTAATTAATCCGAGGTATTGATTAGAGTTAAGTGCGTTGTTTACTTCTGACTTGATAGTAGTTAGGTTGTCGATTGTGGATCTGTGTTTGCGGAAGCCGCTTTGAAGATCGGAGAGAATTTTTGTTTTTTCCAAGATTCAAATCAGGCGAGTTTTCGCTATTTTTTTTAATATTTTGGCTATGGTGTTAAGGAGTGATATAGGTCTGTAGCCTTCAGGTTCGTGTTTATTTTTTTTTGGTTTTAGTATTGGTATTATGTTGGCTGTTTTTCAACCTATGGGGATCTGTCCCTTTTTCCATATATGGTTATAAATGTTGAGTAGGTGTTGTTTTGTTGATATGCCAGAGTTGAGTAAGAAGCTATATGGGATTTTATCAGGGCCCGGACTTTTGCTTTTGCAGTCTTTAAGAGTTTGTTCTAACTCTTCCATAGATATTTTGAGGTTAAGGTTTATTTGGTCTAGGTTATTTGGATCAATGGTAGACTTTGTTTGGTTGTTCTCCTTGAGTATCTTTATTTCATTTATGAATTTTTTATTGTATGTTTTGTCGCTGGAGTTTTCGTGGAAGAAGTTTCCTAATATATCTGCGACTTCTGTTTGATCAGTTATGGTGTTCTGGTTGGTTTTTATGAATATGTCATTGTTTCGGGTTAAGCCTTTTAATGATTTAATTTTTCTCCATACTTCTGATGGATTCGTTTTTACGTTGATGATAGATGTGAATTCGTTCCACGATTCTTTTTTGCTGTTTTTTATGAGAAACCTGCTTTTGGCTCTAAGTCTTTTGAGTTCGATAAAATTTTCAGGGGTTTTGTTTTTTTTGAATTTTATTAGTGCTTTATTTTTGTCGGATATTGCTTCTTTTATGTTATTGTTCCACCATGGTACTCTGGGCTTTTTTGTTTGCTTAGTTGTACCTATTGACTTTTTTGCGATGTCAGTTATAAGATTTATGAATGTTTGGGTAGTTTCTTCTATGTCAATGATGTTGTGGTCAAGTATTTTCTTGATTTCTTCTTCTAGTAGGTCGGTATATAAGTTCCAATTAGGATTTTTTAAATTCCATATTTCTTTATTAGAGTATATATTATCAACATGTCTTGGTAATATTTTAATTTTAATTGGGATGTGATCACTGCTGTAGATTTCAGGTAGCACTTCCTATTCAAGCCTTTGATGGTGTGCTTAGAGATAGATCTATGTTAGATAAGTTACCATTTCCTAGGTTTATATGGGTAGGAGTTGAGTCAATGAGCAATACTAGGTCTTCGTTTTGTATGAGTTTTTCTATTATTTTGCCTCTCGGGTTGGTGTTGTTTGAGCCCCAGATTATATTGTGTGAATTGAAGTCTCCTACTAGTATAAAAGGTTTAGGAAGTTGTCGTATTATATTTTCCAGGTCGAGTAATGAAAAGTCAGTTTGATTCGGTAGGTAAATGTTGCATAATGTGAATGTTACACTGAGCTCTACGGATATGGCTATTGTTTCAAGGTTGATGTTAATTTGTATATCTTTGCTTGGGATGTTAGATTTTATGAATATTGAAACGCCTCCGCTGACTCTATCTGATGTTGTTCTATATTTATTGAATCCTTGGAAGTTTTTAATGTGAGAGGGGTAGTTGGCTTTGAGGTTTGTTTCTTGGAGGCATATGATTTAGGGGTCGTGATTTTGTATGATGAGTTTAAGCTCTCCTTGTTTTTTGGAGAAGCCGTTTAGATTCCACTGAATAATATTAACCATTTTTGATGTGTGATATTGGGTCTTGTAGGTTTGTCTAGTATTATTTGTTTTTTTTTTTTTAGGGTTGAGTGTTGTGTGCGTGTATAACTGAGTATCAGTAAGTATCAGAGTCTGTCAATGGAGCTTCTTTTGAAGCTTCTGTTTCTAGTGCTTTGAAGAGTTTACTGGTTATCCGAGTTATATTGTTTTTAGCTTTACTGGTTAGAAGGAAGGGTCTGAATTTTTCGAGTAATTCCAATTTATAGTTTCCTTCTATTTCATATTCTTGGATTATGTCTAGAGGATGTTCTAGTGTGGCGATAGTTTCTATAATATGTTTAAACTGAGCGAAGTTTAATCTGGCTTGGTTGTGCTGCTCAAAAATATGGCTGATAGGTTCCAAGTGAGTGTCCAAATTCTCTGAAAAACGTTCGCGTGAATTTGAGCAAAGTTGATTTTCAGGCTTGTTTAGTGATTCGATGGATTTATTTCGTTTTATTTGGTTTTGATCTTGAGATAGAAGGGGGAATTTCTTTTGAGATCTTACCTTGTGATGGGGATTTAAGGAAGCACGAATCGGAAGTTAAACTTGTTGATGTCGATGAAAGAACTGGTATTTTTATCTGGTTGGTTGTATTAGGAATCGGAAATATAGTTTCTTCATAGGTTATTTCCGTAGGTACCGGGTCGTCTAGCAAAGCAGGTTGATCTGTGGTTGGAGAGGTACTGTTCGAATTAGAGTAGACCATTGGTTCGGAGAACGAATTGCATATGGGTTTATTGTATACTGTATTATCATCGGTGACCTTGGAGTTGCTTATATAGTTGGTATACCCTTGGGATTCGTTTATCTTAGTTTTTGAAGCTTCTGTCAGTAGATTTTTACACTGTTTTGAGGTGTGTCCTTTGAGTTTGCATGTATAACAAGATAGAGTGTCATCGGAGAAAAAAATTCTGTGAGGAGTGTTTTCGTGCATGATTATGGCGGAGTTTGGAAGTTTTTGAAAATCGTCGGGATTTATGTAGACTTGGCGTCTGAAACTAAGGATATGAGCAAGTTCTGGAATATTGAAACCCGCATTAATGTGAGTGATGGGTGATACTATTTGGATGTTATGATCTTTTAAGTGTAATATAATGCTGTCGTTTGGTATAGCGGGTGAAACGTTAGAGATTATGATTCTTTTGGCCGGATTTATTAATCTTCTAGTTTTAATTATTGTATGGTCGTTTAATTTGATGCTGAGATGGTTATCTATAAGAAAATCCACGGTGTTTTTGTCATTAAAAAATATACAGAACCGGCCGTTGGATATTCGGGAAACGAATTTAATGTTTTTTGGTGAAGTTAATTTGCTGATAGCGATGATGTATTCAATCTGGGGAATATTATCAATTGACTCGAAGACGATTGCTTGGTCATTTTTGGGTAGTGCAGAGTTGATAGTGGTCTCAGCGAAAGATTTTTTCCCGGCTGAGTATTTATCAGTTTGGATATTCGTGTTTAGATGAGATGCGGCATTTATACTTGAAACACTCTGTATAGGGTTGGTGTTGTTGCTGGAATTGTTATTAGAGTTATTTCTAACTACTGATAAAATTGCGTCATTGGTGCCGTTATCGGGATATTGAAGAGGGTCATTAGTTGCTTTATCTGCTAACCTGACGGCGGGCCCGACGTTGGGTTTATTAGAAGATGATTTAGATGAATGATTGAGTCTGTCTTTAAGACATAGCTATGGAGGGTGAATCCCCCATTTTTATATGGTGGAATAATAATATAAAATGTTCGTATGTGAGTAGGAAAAAAAAACTATTTAAATATTCATATTACCTGAACACACGAGCTTCAACAGCTAAAAATACAAGAGCGCGATACAAAAGACGTGTTGATCGAACGACAGTGCACACATAACTATCATCACTTTTATATTCGTTTAAAGTACGTATTAAATTTATATCGTTGAATGGTGCCTCACTAACATTTGTAACTGTAAACCAATATTTAATATACATTTTTACAATAAATGCACTAATTCGCACTATAGCATTTTCTTCGATTTCGTTATTTTTAATTCAGTTCGTAGTAAAAATATTTTCAGACAGTAAATACATTTTGCCATCCACCTTGCCTGATGACATGCGCCCGGTTGACGAATTGTCGTGCCACCAGGTGGAGTTTCTCCAAGTATAATAACGACTAGTTCAATTAAGGATGGTCTTTAGTAATTTTTTTTAAACAAAATGAAACAATTTCTTGACGTATTGGGGAAATTATTTTTTCAACATTTTTATTTGTATTCCAAACTAATATTTTTGTTTTATCAATTTCTTTCCATGCATTTTGAAAGCGTTTAAAGATAGGTATAATTGGTCCAGGCGATACGTATAATTTCGCCTCGTTAAATGCAGCTTCGATAATCAACTCCGAAACATGATGCCTACAAGCAAAATAAATAATGTCTCTGTTCAATTTTTGCTCCATAATTGTAGATGCCCCATTTAGTCTGCCGGTATTTGATGCAGTAGTATCAAATACAAAACCTTGTACTTTATCAAGCAAAGACCATTTTTCTAAAGAATCATATACGGCTAATGATATTTCACTTCTTGTTCCTGATGGGATTTCTGGAACGCCAAGAAGTTGTTCTCCATTCGGCGTTGAGAAAATTACTGGAAGACGATCAACTTTTTCTTGATTAGTTAAACCAGGAAGTAATTTTGAATCCCAATGTACAATAACAAAATCTACATTTAAACTAACAAAATCTGAATGAACTTTTTCTGCGATTTCTTTTCGAATACTTTCTCGG